GACAGAGCCCTGGAACAGGCTGCCCAGAGAGGTTGTGGAGTCTCCTTCTTTGGAGATCTTTAAAACCCGCTTGGATGCAGCCCTGTGCCACGTGCTCTAGGTGTGAGCAGGGGGGTTGGACTCGATGACCTCTGAGGTCCCTTCCAACCTTCGGCATTCTATGATTCTATGATTCTATGATCCCAGTGAAGTTTTGTGCTCTATTCSTGGAGTAAAAGCAGAGAGGAGTTTTGGGAAACAGACTGGAAAGAAATTGAATTTTAGTGAAATAAGTACTGTGTCTGTATGTCATGTGTGCAAGGGATGGAGCCCTTTTGAACTGCTGGACCCCAAAATCAGACATTAGTGGATTTGGGCTTACTGATCATTGATAAGACTTTAAAAAAAAAAAAAAAAAAAAAAAAACTAAAAAAGCTCCATGGATAAGATAAAATTGCAAGTTTTGCTTTCTATCAACACAATTCCAGCAACTTCTTCCTGCTTATAGGTTCAACCTCTGAATTGAATGATTAGGAGTCGTGCTGGGAAACCAAAAGACCTGACATTTTTAGATTAAGGCACTTTTGGACTGCATACCATCTGTCTGTAATTTTTCCAGTCCTTCTGAACTTTTTTTACTTTGTGTATGATACAAAGCATGTTCTGATCAAAGTTGCCATCTTGCCGAGTTCAGCCCCCAAACAGTTCTAGATGGTTTTATGTATAGATGTTCAGACTCCCCTCGTGTTTTACAGCATGATACTGGATGTTGGAGGCTCCCATTTTTTTCACAAACTAAGAATGAAGTCATATAGTTGTCAAAGATATGTGAATCTTCCTAGGATTTGTAGCCATTGCTTTTTCAGAGCTGCCAGGAGTGCTCAGAGTCTTTTTTTTTTTTTTTTTTCCCCCCACTGTTTTTAGACATTTATGCTGCTGAAATCAGTAGTTGTATTTAAGGTCTGGAATCCCATTGTGTCTGGAAGCCCAACACACCTTGGAATGTTTTAGATACACTTTTGGGTTTCAGTCTTGTTGTATAAATTGCAGTGACCTTTTCAGGGAAACTGTTAATATTAAAGATACTTTGCTTAGATGTCCATTGCTCTTATTTCAGTAGTTAACAGCAGGACACTTACAAGATCATTTTATTTCTGTAACCTCACTCTTTTTGTAAGAGTTTCTATCTGAAGGACTTCAAAGTTTTGCTAAACAGTTTTTTTTTTTTTTTTTTAATTTCATTAAAGGTTATAATCTTAACCTTCACTTTATAGCTTTTCAAGCAAGCAAGCAAAGGTTATAGCTTTTCAAGACAAGCTATTTTTCCCCTAATTTATTTTTAATATATAATAAAACATACTCAACTTCAGCCTAGTCTAGGATGGCAAAGATGTGTGATGTTTAAAGTTCATTCAATACATTTCTGTCTGTTCAGTGACTTCTTGGCATGTAAAGTCTGTAACGTCCTCATTCGTGGGCCTGTGGAAATGAATCAACCAACCTCAGACCCTAATCAAAGAAGAAGTTATACAGACCCTAAATATCTACTTGTGTTTTTCTTGCCTGGTTTGTGAATAAGTGGCATAAAAGTTTAAAGTTGTAACGCAGTTGTAAAGTTGTTGTAATAGTATGAATTGTATTTTGTTATGTTATATATAGAACACTGCATTTTTCTGCAATATTGAGTTAGTATTTGTTCTTCAGYATGAAAAAGCAGAAAATTCGTCATTTGCAAAAGTGTAATTACTGTTCTGTCATGTGGCTATTGAATAGACACTAACAGTAATAAGACTTGGTCTTAYTATTAAATATTTCTAAGTGAATTTCTGTTAATTCTAAATGGTGATACTCTTATTTAAATCAGATAAACTTGTACTTGAAAATGGAGAAAAAGCCTAATAAGAAGGAGGAACTGACACTAGTGAACAATGTTTTAAAACTTGCTACGAAATTATTGAAGGTAAGATTTAATGTAGTTTTACAATATTGTACATAACCAAGAAATAGAACAGATTTTTAATGAGTCACAGTACAGGATGCTTTAGTTTAAATCTACTCTACTCCTCTTGTCAAAGTGACATATTGTTGATACACTTGTCTGYTATGTTGCCATCATTGTGGATTGCAAATAGTTATTAAATACAGTAAGTTTTATCTTTAGGACTACATGCCTGGAGTGAGAGGAAATCATTTAAGATGGACAAGGTGATGAACTCTCAGAAAATGATGCAGCTTTGTTGCCTGTTCTCAGACACTCCTTAGCATTAAGCTGGAGTATTTGAATTCTTCCACAAAAGCTCTTAGTGATTAATGTTCCAAATTAAATTAGATTGTCCTTAGTACTGTATTTACATGCTGTCACAGAAGACTCCTCTTGGAAGACAGAGATTGTTACATAGCTCCATTTCTGTGTGAATTAAAGATATTTGTGACTCGTGTTGTAATGACAACTATGCAAGTCAAACTGTGTCTGCTAACTGTTGGGCAAATACTTTTTTGCACATTTACATGGATTTTCACTGATTAGTGGGAATGTTATCCTGTTTGCCAACTAAGAGCATTTCATGGATAGAAAATTTCTTTGTTTTGGGAGAACATGTTTTCTTGATTTCTTTTTTAGAAGGCTCGTGAAGAATCATCTTTCTTTCACAGTGTTTGTCAAAGCACTGACAAGCTCAGGGCTTTGATGTTATCATTTGAACAATGTGCAGAGTAAGGGCAAAACTAAAAATTTACTAAGAACTGCAAGATTAGTGAAGTGCCCTTTTTGTTCAGTTTTGCAGATTTATTTTGGATAATATTTCGATATTTACATTTAACAACATGTAAATACTGTCACATATGTTGTTAGTGCTTTTTTCTTTTTTCCACTATCTGCCYCAAAAGTAACTCTCAAAAATAATGCAAAAGGAAGAGAATTATGATAGGGAGGTCATTTTTGTTAATTTTTCATAATAATGAGTTAGGTTTTTGTCCCGGTGGAAATTTTTTTTGTGCTACTCAGAGAGCAGCAATGGGCAGYGAGTGAACGTGGTGGCTGTTCTCGTCCACACTGGTTTTAGAGGAGAGTATTTTCCTCTGSTGAGACTTAAAGACTTCCTAAACAATATCTTATAGTTCAGTGTATACGTGAACAAAAATATGATACAAAATATAACAATCATGAAAGGCAGAACATTGTTTTAGAAGCTTTCTGTACCCACATTTAATGAGAGCTCTTCTGCAGTGCAGCTTAGTAATCTTGTCTGGTTTATGGCAATTTGTCAGTCTTAGCCTATGAACTCAGAGGACGGACTTCTTTTATGTGTAGAAAATGCAGCGCAGTGAACTCCAGCGTGGGTTGAAGCAATTTATTACCTCCTGTAACACCAATAATTACTGTTACTGTGGTCAGTTAGCTAATATGAATGTTGCTGGTAAACTCCATTGCTATCAGATATACTCCAGTGCTATCTATTAATTAGAACAAATGCAAATTGCAGTATGTTAAAAAAAGGTATGCAGTAGTCAAACTGACAAGGGCATGATATTTTTTAAGGAAATAGCAGATCTTTTTTAAGGAAAAGGTTAAGTGGTCATTGGAGAAAGGCCCTTTTGAGAATTCTGTGGAAGAAGAAACAGATAAAAATAAATATGTGTACAACTTCTGATTCCTGGTGGTGTCGATGCTTCCCATCTCTAGGAACTGGACAGCCCCTTCAGGTTATACGGGCTGACAATGAACCCTCTGCTCTACAATATCACCCAAGTTGTCATCCTGTCTGCTGTTTCTGGTGTCATCAGTGACTTGCTTGGATTTAATCTAAAGGTAACTGCTGCCTAAGTGTGCTCTCTTTCACTGTGCTCTTCAGGATGTTACTTTGGTTGAATCACATTTAGTAACCAGATGAATCTTTCACATGTTAACTGGAGGACAGGCTGCTTGAAAGCAGTTTTGAAATGTGAAGTATATCAGAAGAATAGTGATGCATTTGTCCAAGCGTCTTTGATTTTTTTTTTGCATTTTTGTGCCTTTCTTGCTATATTTATGCAAATAATTATGAAGAACTCAGAAATACAGAGGCACTTTTATACAAAAATATGAAGACCTTTTTAACCTTACTACCATGACCAGCCTTAACCAGTGTCAGTCTGTGGGTATTTCAGGACATTCCTGTTACAGGTTCTAGGTGCTAGACCTATCTGAACTGTAAATAAATTCTGGAAACTATTTCAAGAAGGAAGTTATGAGAAACCTAGGCTTCCACAAGCGTGTACCGTAGAGCACTTAACCACTGGCTATTGTGTTTCCCTACATCTGCCTGATTCCTTTTCCTGTTAAAAAACAGGGAATGTAGAAGTCAGGTTGTGTGTCACTGACCATGCATGGCTGCAGTGAGAATACCTGAAGTGGCATTGCAGGTTTGGGGAATAGAAAGCTGAGRTGGGAAGTAATGCTGATTTCCTGCTTTAACTTTTTCAGCTCTGGAAGATCAAATCATGACCATCTATAAGGAAGATGAGATAACAGTGTTACAGAAAAGCTCATGGACTGACACAACTGCCTCAAAGCAGCCACTGAATCTGTATTTCAGAAGCTACAACCTCTTCGAGGATATTGTGTGGGAAATTGAAGTGTTTACATCCGACTTGTGCAATCTTTGTATTTATTTCATCTTTTTGCTGTTTTATGTTCATTTTAGTTGATACTTGTATTTTATTTTCCAATACGTTTGTTTAGTTTGGAAAGGGTCAGATTTAGAAAGGGTCAAAACCCTCCTGTCTGAGAATATCCCCATAATTGAGTACACTAAATTATTACATCTGTTGTTGAAGCTGAAGCCAATGCTGAACATTTATATCTTCCATTTTTTTTAGTTATAGTAATGCTATAGGGAAATCATTTTATTTTGAAATAAGTATATAACTTGCCTAGAACATTTCATTTGCACCATTCATTTCTGAGGACAACATAGCATCATTCGATGTTTGGTTGCAATAGAAAGTGAAACATATACTAAAATAAAGTACTGACAATACAGTATGACAGGTAGCAGAAATATTTTATATTGCTATTAGAACTAAGTGGGGAATTTTTAATATTTTGAGGAATTCCAGGATCTAAACTGATGTAGGCTGCAGTTTAAATATCCTGGAGTATTAATAAGTATTATATAACAGATCAACAAGTGCTCTTTGATAACACTTTTATTAGAGCAATAATTGTAAATGGTTACCATGCTGTATGATATTTTGATAAAATTAAATATTGTATTTATTTGAAATACTGGGCTGTTCTGCACAGCTCTGACTGTGCATGCTCAATATGTGCACTTTTTATTGTTACTTTTAATGAGAAACTTTATATATATACATACATAATGTATATTAAGTGGAATATATTATGGTGAACTATGGAGCAGTATATTTTATATCTTGAAGTTGAGTATTTAAACAAGTGGTAACTTGCTGGAGAAGCAGCAGGCGGATGGATGCTCTCCTGTAGTGCACTATAGTATAGGCCCTTGGTACCACGTGGAAGTTTAAGAACAGATCGAGTCAAGCCCCAAGTCCTCCTGGTGGCAGGAGCAGCAGCGAGGCCTGCAGCTCTGCCCCCCAAACACCCTCTTCCCTCCTCCATGGGGATCCCAGCCTCGCGCTCCCCTCTCTCCCTCTCTTCTCTCTGCCACATGGACACGGTCCTGGATGGGCTCCTGCTTTGTTCAGTGTGACAGAGCAGGCGTTCACGCCCACGGAGTTAAGCTGGAGCTAAGTTTGCGTTTGTAAGTTGTATGAGGAGGGTTAACATCACCCGGCTCAGTTATTCTTGCGTTTTGTATTTCTAAATTAATGCAGGAACTCCAAAAATCAGTGGCTTTGTATGGAAAAATGCAAAAACTAATTGGGTTTCACAAGGCTGGGTATTGCTTCAGATCTTTAAAAAAAATCAAAGACGAGCAAATGATGTAATGTATCTTAAACTTATGTGGTATAAGAATATTTTTATATATAAAGTAACACAAACATTTTGTATTTTATTTGCCTCTGTACTAATGTTTAATAATGACCAAAGTGCATTCTAGTTTTTGAAAGAATGTATTCCTGGAGCTTTAAGAACATACTATATTTAGTTTCTCATGTGAAAACCTCAGCTGCATCTGATCTTTCTTCTTCCTCTGTGTTGTCTGATGTTGGGATTGTTTTTAGCAATTGACCATTTTATACGCAGTTTTTTTCCAAAAGGTGGTACAGGTCTACACAGAACTTAATTTTGCACAAAATATATTTTGAGAAAAAAAAAWTGCAGCAGGAATATTGTGGGGGATAAAAGATAAGGCTAGTGCTTTTTACAGCCTGTCACTCTCACAAAACCACTCTTTATTCTAGAATGGAGATACTTTCAAAACTCGTGAACATTGAATCTAGGGTTTTCAGTAGCGTTAAAACAGGGAGAGGGAAACTGTGGCTTCAGTGGAGGGTGAATTTAACCACGAATACCTCAGCAGTGAGCGCTGTGCTGGAGTCGTGCACTGACAGTGGCGGCACGGGGAGAAGGAAACACGAGTGCGAAATGGGCTGGGCGGGGGGCTGAGACCTGTGATCGCTGCCCTTGGGTGTATTGGTCACCGTCAAAAGGGGAAAGGCTTGTTCTCCATCCCACGGTTTGGGAAATCCCGGATGGAARTAGAGGCAAGTGGGAATACGGCCGGTCTTGCGTATTAGGTGTTGTTTTGCCACGTGCTTTGTAACCGGGAGTGCGACCAGGCTTGGAATAAAGCTCTCTATGGCTGAAGGCGACCGTGTGCCGTGAGCTGTGTCTTCCAGTGGTGCCCTGCATGTGCCTGAGGCTGCCTGTGCTCATTGAAATCCATACCCCTGTAGATATTATATATTCCATTTAAATTAAAGCATATTTGGGAGAGAAATCCTGGGTGCAGAAAACAAATGTTGGTTGCCAAAACTGCGCTTTATTGCCAGACCACAAACTTTCAGCCACTTTAAGTAGCTTAATTTTATTAGTGCAACTGGAAATGCAGTTTCCAAATAAACGTTTGTTTGAGAAGTTTTGAAACGGAATCAAATGAAATATTTCAGATTTAAAGGATTGCTTTCAATAATGATTTTGACTGGTTCATTATAACACAAGTTCAGTGTAAAAATCAATCAGCTGAACTTCTTGATAAAATCAACATGAAATAAGATCTTCTGGAAAATTTGGACACAATGTATGATAGTCTATTATTTTATCCATTGATTAATAAATCAATGATAGCAATATTTTCTAACAGAAAACTCTTCCATTTTAGTTTTGACCAGGTCTGAACGCCCTGTTTTTAATCGCCCTCCTTTGGCWTTTCAGAGCCTAAACTGTTACCCCTGCCTAGGGTTTACCTAAACAGAACAGTGGGAGGATTTAAAAAAAAATATAACAGGTGAAACGCAGAAAGGTCTTTCATAGTTAGGTTGGCCCTTGCTGTTGCCACCGCCGCCTTTGCCCCTCGGGCTCCCGCTCGGCTGCCGGGCGCGGGCGGCGGGCGAAGGCTGCTCTTGGTGCTGGTTCTTGCTCCCACCTCGCACAGGCTCCTGCTGCCGGTTTCCTAGTAGTGACCTGTGCAGCAGAGCTTTGGAGGAGAGGGAATTTGTCAATACTGTTCTCTCTTCCTTCTGCTTTAGTCCATAGGGCAAACTCCATCTTCCCGCGCGGTGCTGCATAATGTTCCTCCGCTCTCCAGCTCTCACGGGCTTTCCTGCCCCCTTCTCCTGGCACGTCCTATGGGGCCACCGACCTCATTCCCCGAATGTTGCTGCTCTGTCCCTCACCCAGTCGTTATCGTTACAGCTGCAGCTTTCCCCTCTCGCCTCTTTAACCATTTCCTGCGAGTAGCACAACGGCCAAGGCCGCCACGACTGCACAGAAGAACTCTGCTCTCAGACGAGGAGATGGAGGAAGCCGTTGTCACGATTTTAGAGGCCTTTCGGTTTGCACTGAACTTATTTCCTTGTAGCAGAACTTCTACAAGGAGGCGAAAAGGCARGATTGTGTCTTGAAGATGCACCTTGGACAGCAGCAGCGTTGTTGGGGGATGCYGATATCCATGGCCATCTCCCCCGGTTCGTTTGCTCTGGCTTGCTGCCCAGGCACCAGGGTGCAGGAAGCYGGATTTCACCTCTTCTCAGAGCATGCAATAATATGGAACTGCCTCGGTTTTGTTTCCAGGTGCTCTTATTAATACCCAGCTCCTTACAGTGCCTCACATCCCATTTATACTTTCTCAGATGCCTTCCTCTCTGCTTCTTCATCCTCATTTCACCCCTTATTGAAAGATGTGTCTGTACTGGTACAATAGATGCAGAAGCAAACCTGTTAGTCCTAAGGCAAGAGAGACTGTAGGAGGAAAGCAATTTTCTTTTTTTTTCACCAGTTGTGAACTGGTGGAGGGGAAGATCTAGAGAAGGCACTGTGTCTATTATGAAAAAGAGCAGTCTGCTGGTGCTGCAGCCTTCACCTCCAACGCTGCTGTCTCGCCTTATCAGGAAGACTGAGCAATCCTTGCTGGGCTGTCAGGACCCAACTTGTACAAGCATCATTTCTTGTTCCTGGAAATTGCCATCTCTGACACTCAGAGCCTGTAGATGCCCTTTGGAGTTCCACTGCAGAGCCCCTTTGCCAGGCCTGCTGGTCCAGGGGAGCATTTGGCCAGTTCTGCTGGGCTTAGGGGGTGTCTGGCCAGGACYGAAGCACAGAGTGCTGCAGAGCATCTGGAAGATCGTGGTGCCACCACATTCATGACTTGGCTGATAGAGGTGTCTGTGGTGTGCGTGTCAGCTCTCCTCACCTTGCTTTAGTGCGCACTTGGGCCCTGCTACTGACAGGAACCACATGAGGGTCTCCTGGGAACACGAGCAACGTAGAATAAGGATAGAATTCCCTCCAGGGAAGGAAGGGAGTGTTATCCCACTGATAACATGCACCTCCTGCTCTCTGACTCTTTCTAGGTGGCTATCCTAGTGTCCTACTAATGGCCTGGGTGGACATGCTACTGTTGGGTGACTTTAGCATTGAACTTCTAGAGTGAGTCCATCTTTACTGGACTTGGCAGAGCATGATTTCCTCCATGGAAGGGTACCGCTCATCTTGAGTCTGGCGCCTAGAAGAGGTTGATGAGAAGGACCTTCTTGTGATGCTTCTCCACTAGGGGCTCCAAGATCTTTCTGAAAATTTGCTTCTAGTTCCTGTAGTTTGGATCAAGAGAGAACTTCCCTTGTGGACAGTGATGGAGCGTTTTGTGCTAATAATAGAAAAGTACGGACCCTTTCCAAGGAGACTGGAGCCTTGTGTCTGCTCACTTGTCACTTACCTTACTGGACTGCAAGATGGTCATCTCTGCTCAGCTGCGCACACTTGCTCTGGGAGCAGGGGACACCCCTGGTCGTGTTGGTTGGATAAAATTGAGGTCTTGGCTGCTSTGCCTGAGGCAGTAACACCACCCCATGGGGCAGCCAGCCCCATAACCCTACACAGAGCTCTTGCTGTTCCAGAAGATGGATACAGGCTGGGGTGAACACACTCTGCTAGCTCCACTGCGCCTAGGTGTAAGATGGAAGAGAAGCATCTCTCCCAAGGGAGGTGGTGACTGTCTCTTGGCAAATGTGATGCTAACAGCGTTGTCCTTTAGATGTTAGAGTCTTTGAAAGCAGAAGAGATGTCAAAGATGGAGAGTCACTTCTAGGTACAGAAGATACCTGTGTCATGCTGCCAGTCTCAGAGCTGGTTGGCTTTGGTCAACAGCTCTTTATTGTCTTTGGTCATTCTGATCCTCATGAATGCTGTATCCTCTGGATTTTGGTAGGTATCGATAGCTACAGTATCCTCAAGGACGCTGTAATTGTTGCTTAGCATTTTGTATTTCACATAGCTGATGTTCCACATGGGAGAAACCATCTTTTGGCTGTCTCTGTAATTTCATACGTGGAAAACTTGAAACTTTGGCCCTGCTTGAGCAGGGGGCTAGARCAGGACGAGCTCCAGAGCTGCCTCCCAACCTCAGCCCTTCCGTGGTTCTCAGACCTGCTCCCCCAGCCGCAGGGGGAGCACGGGGGCTCCTGGCAGTCGAATACCCCCGTGCAGCAGCCTGGGCGCTTCGTCAGCAGCGCTGCACCTGGACAGCTCTTATTCCAGCCTTTCTGGCGCCAGGGAGGGCTTTCCGGCACCGAGGCGCCAGGAGGTGTTTCTGTTGTGCCAAAGATGCATCCCAGTTTTTGCTAAGCAGATAGTAACAACCCAGGGAAGGTCAGGGTGTGATTCTCTTATGTTAATGCAAAAGCTCGGGGCAAGCTCTGAGTCTGAACTTGGCTGCATCGGAGAAAATCTGCAGTGTGACATTAGGAATACATGGAAAATATAAATAGAGTAAATAGGAAAGGGCAAATAAATAGAGAAGGGCGAATAAAGCTGTTTGGGTTATGCCCATCGCTTTGCATTAAGAGAAGCCAAGCATCTGAGAACTTAGTGGTTGGACCTCTAGCACCTTTTCTTGTTTAGTATTTTAATTATACAAGTGTACAGTATCCATACAGAATTATGTTAGATTAAATGTTAGAGAGTCTGCAGGTAACCTCAACATATTAAAAAAACAGCAGCCATAAAGTGCTATTAAGGAATAGTATAAAATGAATTTTTAAAAACCTTATTTTTACCTTTTGCTTCCCTGCTGTTCTCCTCTGTGTAAACAGTTTTGCACTTGAGCTGACAAGTTTCAGGAATTAGAGATCACTGCAGACCGAGTCTCACAACAAGGAAGGCCATTGCCCAACACTGGGCAATGTCTCCCACGGGCAGTAACCACAGATCCTTCAGAGCGGGAAATCGGGGGAGATTTTCGTTTCCTATGCAGCTTGGGGGCAAACTTCCAAAGCGCTGCCTCTTATTTCACTGCCACTTCCGTGTGGAGGTGCCAGCAGTTTGTTTCCGTGCGCCCGCAGCCCCCAGAGCTGCTCTGAGCCGCTGGCAGGGCTCTACAAGCAGCCCGCGGCCCCTGGAGCATCAGCTCCCTCCTAATGAAACGGGCCGGGGATTAGGGAGCTGCCTCCTGCCACGATCCCAGTCCAAACCTAAGTCTCTAGATAAATGCTTGTAAATTAATGGAATCTTTTGCTTTTCCTTTATTTCACACGTGTAAATGGATGGTAAGTGAATCTCCTTGCTAACTGAAAAATGCAGTTTAGCAAACGAACCCCAGTGGTCGTTCAGCATTAATGCAGGGAGGCTGCGAATGTCTGGTGAAAGAGTCCTTGCCCTTTGCCAA